CAAGTTCAAAGACATATATACATGAATAACAAATGCAAACATGTTTTCATTTATCATCTGTTTGATTTTTATCCTTTGCTTCTAATGTGGCTTTATGTTGCCGATCTTACCCCGCTAGTCATGATTTCGAAACATTAAGTACAACCCTGAGAACAGAATGCCAAGCCACGATCTGGCCACGTGAATAAGTTGAAGTTACATCCTTCTAACAGGAAAAGTAACTTTCGTTATCATGGAATTATAACAAAACCTGCCAATTCAATATAAATGGAAAAAAATATATTATATGGAATTAAACGAAAATGAAAATTTGCTTGATAATTCAACTACGCTTGTTGGAGAACAATAAAAACACTACACTCAACAAGCCACCAATAAAACTCAATTGCCTAACCTATAACCAAAGTCTCCTTTTAATTTGTTTTTAAAAAAAAGCGCTTGACAAACTTGCCCCGCATGCCGAAGTTGCCCCGGTCTCCCCTACACTATTTTAATGCATTCAAAATGTAGAGTAAAAAGTAATGCACACAATGTTAAGTTATATTCTAAAGTTATTAACAATATCGTTGCTCGGGATTTGTAGTAAATGGATAATTTATAGTTTAATTTATAAGCTTTCATGTATAAATTATTCTAAATTTTTAAACAACAATAATTAAAATAATAATTCTGGAATTAAAAAGACATTATTATACATATCTATCGTATAGTCTGCATAGAAAAAAGAAAATATAGCCATGTCTATTTTATTTATATAGCAAATTTATCACTCTTTAATTAATATTTAGCCATTTCACTGGGCTGCAATTTGAAAAAATTGTAGACCTATAAATTCCCACTATCGTCTATCTATCTTCTGTCCTTCCTTAATCTCGAGAATGGTGTTAGATAGAAAAAAGTCAACATACATATTGAAATCTTAGTGTCAGAAGGTCCCGATTAACTATATATGAACTTCTGATCTGGACCGTAAGTCACGTGAATTCAATTCAAAAATTTTCTCCTGAATGAAGTTACATAGATGATTGGCATGAATGTGTTGTTATCAGGAAAAGTATAATATACACGTGCAGGGTCAAACCATTACTAATTTGAGATCGAAAGCATATATTTTAAATTAAATAAAAATATGATTATTTGTTATAAGTTGAAAATTTTAGTTTATTTAGGGAAACTAATTCGTGAACCAGCAATTATTTATTGTGACATGGACACAATGCCGGGCTGCAATTTTTAATTTATTTAATTAAAATATATGCTCTCCATCTCAAATTAGTAATGGCTTGCCCCTGTACATTATACTTTTCCTTTAACAATAGAATCGTGCCGGTCATCCATCGACTGCTTTCAGGAAAATATTTTTGAATTGAAATGACGTGACTTCCGGTTTGCATCGGAAGTTCATATATAGTTAATTAGGACCTCCAGACCCTAATATCTGGTCTCGGATTTCATCTATGTAACTCTGTTCTCGATATTAAGGAAAGTCAGACGGACAGACGGACGATAGTGGGAATTTATAGGTTTACAATTTTTTAAAATTGCAACCCAATCAATATTTCAGTTCTTCATATTTCATCTTCCATTATATGAAATTTTATTAAAAATAAAATTTATGAATATATTTATCAACTGAACAAATATGAAGTTCCTATGAATATATTCATAAATTCTATTGAAAATAACGAAATAACCAGTTTTACAACGAATCAATTCTTTTTCGTTATTATGATGTATGATGTGTCATTCCTTTTAAATTTATAATATATAGTTTATCAAAGCTAACTGATAGGAATATTTTGAAATTAATCAATAAAATTCTCATTTTAAACGTACCAATCAATAAAATTCAAATTATTTAAAGTATTCTTTCTATTTTGTCCGGTAAACCAGTGTGAACTTCTAAAATATTTGTTTGAAAATCAAAATGGCAACTACAACTAACACGAATTAGGCGTTCCAATAAAAGAACCGAATTGTTTCCTTTTCGTGGAAAGCAAAAGATTTAAAAGAACAACTTGTTCGAAGATACATCATCACTTTTTATACGGGAGAAAACAGGATTTAATTCTATAAGAATTTACTTTCGAAATATACAAACAGCAATATGAAGTACCGTACGTTATTTCTGTATTATTATTATAAATCTGTAATACGAAAATAAAAGTCAAAAGTTAACAAACAAATTATTTATTATGATATCGTCTGCAATTTTTAATCATATTTTAAATTTATTTAATTAAAATATATGCTCTCCATCTCAAATTAGTAGTGGCTCGCCCCTGTACATCATACTTTTCCTTTAACAACAGAGTCGTGCCGGTCATCTATTTAACATTTTTAAAGGTTTGAATTGAAATAACGTGACTCCGGTTAGCATCGGAAGTTTGTATATAGTTAATTTCTACACCACCAAATGTTTTAAAACACTGAGCTCGTTTCAAAAAGTTTTAACTTAATTGTAAAAACAGTTATTTCGAGCTAATGATGGAATTATGATGTAAAACGTAAGGAATTTCATGAAATTAGTCAATTATTCGCAAAAATTAATATATGAGATAAATGTAGTATTAAGTATAGCTACATTATCAGAAAACAGATAAATCTTCAACTTTTTTTTCAAACAAACTGAATATCTAATAATAATAAAATCGATTTAGTTAATAAACAAATCAATGGCACACTATAGCTTCGTGGGTGCCGAGACAAATTTGAATTAGAGGGTCTCATATACAATGTTGACTTCAGACATTTTTTTTTCTTCGGAAGAATTTTTGGAGGACACATTCTCTTGTAAAAGATTGATTTGGAGCTCCTGTTGATGAGAACCCTAGGCAATTGTTTTTTTGCCTACAGGATAACGCGCTACTGAAACAGATAACAATCAAAATTAAATCTTAACAAATAAATTATGATAAATAAAATAGTTTGGTGTCTTTTTTTATTAATTAAAATTATTATTTGTCATTACTTGTATAAAATATATAGAATATATTATTTTCAGAATACCGTAAAATTATGAATTCCCCCATTCTTTCTTGCCGCACTAAGAGGATCTTTACATGCCCATCATGGATTCGGCCAGTCCACAATGGGGGTTACTGAACAGCGCTGAAAGGAATTTGACAGCCCTTGGGCCATTCAAAAAAGTTTTTAGGCTCTGACCCTGACTCGAAAACAAATCCCTCAGAGCGGCAAATACGTATTTTGTTGCTTCGGATATCCGGCAGTCTATTGTAAATCCTATTACAAGAAACAATAAATATATCACGATTCTCAGATGGTTGAAGGAGTTGGCATTTGTAAAAGTGGGAGTGCATTCTATTTCCTGTCTACTTTCTTAGTTTCTTTAGAAAATGTATATAAGTCATATATTTACTGATATGCATTGTATTTATTGTTATTAAATGATTCTGTTACCTATTCTATTCGAAAAATCTTTACATTTTTATTAAAACCAAATGTTTTAATAAATTTCTTGAAACATTTTTAATATGCATTCAAGTTTACATTTATAATACTTTTTTACGTCATAGTGATGCATGTAAAATTTTTACAATGAGAAATCTTTCTCTATGTATATATTTTATAAATCAATAAACATTGATTCATCATTGTATCCATATTATAAATAACAATCCAGTATCGAACAGTTCTTGTTTGAGAAATTCTATTTTCCCCTCAATTGACGGCAACAAAAACAGAACGACAAAGTTATATTTTCTTGACATCGTGTCTAAAACAATTATTGTCTATAGACACGATTACGCCTACATCATTTCATATATTGTTTATAATGTGCTAGAAAATATATCTTTTTTATTCTACTTAAACTCACTTTCCATAAAACCGATTTTTTTTTAAAACTCTATCTGTTATATATAGATGATTCTATCGATCCAACAACAAAATTTNTAAGTAACTAAAAATAAAATTTAAAAATAAAATAAAATAAAAAGTTTTTAATGGATAAATTACAAAAATTTCAAAACAATTTAAAAAATTTAATAAATATTTTAATCGGTAGAGCTTGAAGGGTGAAGTTAATTCATCGTGAACTATGCCATTAAAATTAAATTTAGATTTAAAAAAAAAATACTAAAAATATTGATCACTTATTTAAATTCATGACAAAATCAAAATTATACGTTGAACTAAAAAGTACTTAAGTCTATAAATATATTAAAAACAAACGAAAGAAAATGACATTTAAGGCAATAGAAATTAAATAAAACATTATCATTTTCTTAAAGAGAAATCCACACATGGATTATTCTATTAAAATCACAATACCTTTATTTTTTTGCTTTTTTTTTAATTTCAATTTTTATATTTAAATTTCTCTTAAATCATAATTCTATGAATTAGATATATTTTAATATGATCTTGTGTCATTAAAATTAAATATAATTTCCTAAGTCACAAATAACGATTCACGAGGACGTTAGTTGTAAGAAAGTAATTAAACGAAAGAAAATTCATCCCTGAAAGAACTGTTTGAAGATGAATTTAATTCGAATATCTTTAAACGATTTTTCGTTTTTGAAGATTGTATACCTATTATTTACAGTTTTTCATTCTTTAACGCAGTCTAATGAGATTAATATGCACTTATTATCAAGAGTTTAAAAAAACGTTTAGTATTTATTTAAAAAACAAATGGATCTGAGTGTTATTGTGATAATTTGACTTTATATCACAATATATCGTGTAGTAAAATATGTTTAATCTCACGTAAAATAAGAAAAAAAAAAGTGGATATTTTAATATTTCATAATTTATCAATGATAAATTTTAAAAATATACTCATACAAAAACATTTTATAAATGAATATATAATGTTAATAATATGCGTTATAATATTATAAAATATAATTTTATAATTCTGATAAATTACTAAAACAAATACATTGTAACTAAGTGATTAACAAGTAAACTTTCAGGCGAAAAACAATAATTTCATTCTTTATCAAGCATTTTCTGTTTGCATTAGAAATGTCTCACCTCAAATCACCTCTTTGCAATCGGATGTGTTCAAACATCACTTTAACCCGTTCGTTATATCTGGCCATGAAGCGATAAGTGCACTTAATGTCTTTCGGATAGGTACTGGGATATTGAGGGGAGTAAAACTTCCCCCTCGAATGATTAGTACTGCCACTGAAGAACTGATAATCACAAAGAGTTCCTGGTTTTAAATTTCCTTGAGTTTCAAACATTTCTACAAGATAATAAGAAAAGAAATTATAAATGAATTTAATGTTATAGGACCGTGATAAAGGCTTTATATTATTTTCTTTTTTCTCCCTTCCTTTTTCAGTTATCGATCTCTATCGTTTACACGATTTCGTTTTTCAAAATATATCGAAGAAACGAAAAATCTACTTACTTTGGCTAAGAAATCGATAAGTTCCGCGAAAACCGGTGTTATTTCCTTGCCTCCAATCAGAATGGAATTCAAAAACAAGCGAATAACTTGATGAATAATGTGTCTGATCGATATCACCCAATTTTCCACACATCACTAAATTCCATGGTGTATGTTCGTTAACGGAACTTTCTTTCAAATGAAGAAATAACTTCACGTAATCTCCATATATACAACTGTAAGAATAATAGAAAGTAGAATTTTTTCCTTATTTCTTGATTTTACAACAAAAATTTTTAAATTAATAATCGTTATACGTAAACGGGTTATAGAAAATTTAAATTAAAAAAAAATATACTCCAAAATTGTGCGAAATTTATTTATAGATAATCTTAATGAATTATTTACATAATTTAGTTATATATTTTTTATATAATAGAAAACTTTATATAGCAGGTCGAAATATAATAAAGTGCTGCAATATATAAATATATAATAATAATATAAGATAATTGAACTAAATATATTCTCGCATAATTTTGGTTTAGAAAATGTTTTGAAATCAGTATTTATCATTTGAATTATATGGAATTAAAATATGCTAAACGTAATAGTTACAATTATGTTTACTGTATTATGTTTAATGATGTTATTTTTAAATTTACCTAATTAAACTGATTTTTTCAATTATAATATTGTTTTTAATACCCACTAAGCTTAAGAATCAGAAAAATTTTCTTAAAATTACTGATAGAATCTCAAAACAGTAACAATACAATATTCCTGCTTATAGAAAGAATACAAGAATTACATGAAATATCTGCTTGGGATTTACTTTATGGGATAATAAATACTTTCATTTCATAATTAATCGTTACTAATGTCCGTAACATTCTAAAGAAGCTTATGACGTTCACCATCAACATCATACAGTAATAGAAATACTGATGTAAATTAAATTTGGTTACCTGTATCACAAAAGTTTATATTGGTTTGGGAAATAACTTCCACACAAGAGACATTAAATAATCTATATGAGAATTATTAAGCAGATATAACGCATTTTGGTCTTAATTTCATTACGATGTAACGTTTAATCAAGCTTCTGTTTTTGAAGACATAAATAACTTCAAATTACAGAAAAAAAATTGTTTGAATATTCAAAGTATTAGAAATCGTAAAATCTCAATTGTTAATTTAACTTTCTACTTCTATTTAGTTTTTCAAATATCAATATGTAACCTGTTCAAACACTGTAATTCTCTAGGAATTATCACATCCACAGATTCCAAAAATACTAGCCAATCAACAATTTTATTTTACCTAGATGCATTTCGGAAATTACAATATTTCCCTCCTGAGTAAGTTTTCTGAAATGCATCTGGGTAAAATAAAATTGTTGATTGGCTAGTGCTTTTGGAATCTGTAGATGTGATAATTCTTAGAGAATAATTGTGTTTGAACCGGTTTGAATTGTTAAATTTAGCTTTTTTATCATATTCTAATTAATTAAATATCCATCTCAAAAATTTTCTAAATCACACTTAAAATTATGCCAAAAGTTATTAAGAAAACGCTAGTTAATTTATTTTGAAACATCTTATGTACGTCTTACATTCAATTACACTTCTATATATATATATAAAGAAGTAATTGAATATATATAATAAATATATATAACTAAATATCTCTTAAAGCAATTTTATTAGTAATAACTGTTTAACAATGTCTACGTATAAAGATATACAGAATAATATGACATTATGATCTTAAAATATATTAAAGAAACTATTTCATATTATTTTTATTCAAAACTCAGAAGAAAAATGATATAAAAGAAAGATGAGAAGAAGAAGAAGAAGGAAGAGGAGGAGGAGGAAGAAGAGAAGGGAAAAAAATTAAAAACTGGAGAATATAATCTAAGGTTACAGCTGCTTATAGTATGCTTAAATTCTCGTTCCATAGACTAAAAGTTTACTTTTAAATCTTCATCCATCGAGAAAATACAATAATTTTCTTGTCAATTATGGAACAAAATGGACTATTGAATCTTACTTTTTAATTACATTTGTTTTCCTTCGTAATAGTTTAATTAATACAAATTTCCTATATATGAGAAAATACGGAAAAATTGATTACATATACTGTATAATGTTTTCGTAAATTAATGGATACATTTTTGAAATAAGTAAACTTCAAAATAAAACATTTACAATTTAATTTTGCTACAAATCTGGTTCTACTACAAACAAACGAAATTGGATAAAGTATTAATTATAAATTTCATAATGAAACTTATTAAAACAAAATTTTCCGTTTTATTAAAGAGCGTAATCAATCCAAATATGTAAAAAAAAGTAATAATTTCGTTTGAACAAACCAGCGATACAATTTTAAATAACAATGCAAATTTATTTTACATCATCTTTATAAGTAACTAAAAATAAAATTTAAAAATAAAATAAAATAAAAAGTTTTTAATGGATAAATTACAAAAACAAATACATTGTAACTAAGTGATTAACAAGTAAACTTTCAGGCGAAAAACAATAATTTCATTCTTTATCAAGCATTTTCTGTTTGCATTAGAAATGTCTCACCTCAAATCACCTCTTTGCAATCGGATGTGTTCAAACATCACTTTAACCCGTTCGTTATATCTGGCCATGAAGCGATAAGTGCACTTAATGTCTTTCGGATAGGTACTGGGATATTGAGGGGAGTAAAACTTCCCCCTCGAATGATTAGTACTGCCACTGAAGAACTGATAATCACAAAGAGTTCCTGGTTTTAAATTTCCTTGAGTTTCAAACATTTCTACAAGATAATAAGAAAAGAAATTATAAATGAATTTAATGTTATAGGACCGTGATAAAGGCTTTATATTATTTTCTTTTTTCTCCCTTCCTTTTTCAGTTATCGATCTCTATCGTTTACACGATTTCGTTTTTCAAAATATATCGAAGAAACGAAAAATCTACTTACTTTGGCTAAGAAATCGATAAGTTCCGCGAAAACCGGTGTTATTTCCTTGCCTCCAATCAGAATGGAATTCAAAAACAAGCGAATAACTTGATGAATAATGTGTCTGATCGATATCACCCAATTTTCCACACATCACTAAATTCCATGGTGTATGTTCGTTAACGGAACTTTCTTTCAAATGAAGAAATAACTTCACGTAATCTCCATATATACAACTGTAAGAATAATAGAAAGTAGAATTTTTTCCTTATTTCTTGATTTTACAACAAAAATTTTTAAATTAATAATCGTTATACGTAAACGGGTTATAGAAAATTTANTAACGGAACTTTCTTTCAAATGAAGAAATAACTTCACGTAATCTCCATATATACAACTGTAAGAATAATAGAAAGTAGAATTTTTTCCTTATTTCTTGATTTTACAACAAAAATTTTTAAATTAATAATCGTTATACGTAAACGGGTTATAGAAAATTTAAATTAAAAAAAAATATACTCCAAAATTGTGCGAAATTTATTTATAGATAATCTTAATGAATTATTTACATAATTTAGTTATATATTTTTATATAATAGCTTCTTGGTCCTTTTTTTTTTCTTAATTTTCTTTTTAATTTATTCTTTTATAGCTACGCATTTGGCTATTAGTTTAGGACTTATTACACTACGATTTTTTAGGAATATTGACTTTTTTCGTTTTATTTTTTAAATAAATTCTAACTCCAATATGTAGAACCAAATAAAAAGTAAAAAGAAAAAAGTTTCAAGTAAATATTCCTAAAAAACGTAATGTGATAATTCCTAAACTAATATCCAAATACAGTGGTACCTCAGGTTACGAACGCCCCAGCATACGAAATTTTCAAAATACGACATGAAATTCGAACATATTTTTGCTCCACGATACGAACAAAAACTCACCATACGACGTTACATTAGTTCGCATTTTTCATTTGTTTTTCTTACTACAGTTATTTTTTTTAATGTATTACTTGGCTTTAATTTGAGTATGTTTTTCGCGTTGGAACGAATTATTTGGTTTTACATGTAATCGTATGGGAAAAGATGATCCACCTTACGACATTTTCATGATACGATCTCAGTTTCGGAACGGATTAATTTCGTATCTTGAGGTACCACTGTACGTAGTTATGCAAGAATAAAATAAAAATAAAATTAGTTTTATATATATATTTTTAAAATTTCAATCTAATTTTAACAATTCTTAATCTTCTTCAGTAGAATAATTTTTCGATAAAAATATTGAGGAATACTTTTATCGAATAAAACATTTTTTTTTTAAATTATAAAGTTAGGAAGATTCGTACAACTAACTCTAAATTTGTTTTTTGTAGATCAAATTCGTCAAACGTGATCTCGACTATTTCGTCTTCTCCAGCTATAAAGGTATACAGGATACAATCTGTGTTATCTTCGTAGGGGACGGGCCAGTTGGGAGATGTAAACACACCATATTCTTTACCGTAAGTATTGTCGTAGGTAATGCATTCACAGCCTTCGAGGAAAGAAAGAAACATTAATTACACTACCTCCTCTAGAGAATGATGAAGATGGAGAAGAGAGGAATAAAAAAAAAAGAAAAAAATACTCACCAGCGCCCAGACCTGTGGATGGAATGACGGAAGATAAAACAGCCCACACCATTGTCACCACCTAAAAGACAAGTTAAATGTTTTCATTAGTTGTAAAGTAATGAAAAAATTCGTTAAATTAGTTTTAATTATTTTTATAATAAACTTTTATTACATATATGTAGTACGAAATGTTACTTCCCGTAATTGTTGTAAATGTACGAATTAAGAGTACGCATTCATTCTACACATTGGATAAACGTTGTTTGTTAATTGCTTCTTTCGTTTACCCAACTCTTCGGGGAATTGAGTATTCAACAATGTAAACTACCGAAAGAGATCAGATGGTTTTTCAACTGCGATTCCATTTTCTTAAAGTGAAAAGAGACGTGAAATGGAACCAAACTAGATGATTTTAAGCGATTTTCAAATAAGTAAAGCCATTTCTAAAGTACAAAGATGAATAAATAAATAAATTCGAACTAAAAGTAAATAAATAATTCATAGAAGTAGAGGACCTTGAGTGCGTTTGTTTTCTTAATATCATCATTGTACGCCAAAAAATACTTTATTATGGAATGGAAATCTTGTTTAAAAGGTTTATAAGTTTTTTGACATAAAAAAAAGAACAACTTTCTGCTATTCGCAGTACGATTGGGAACGATGCTTTTCTCAAACCTTTCTCAAGAGGACGAAGACGACTTAATCTCATAGGGTCGGGCAGCGAGTTAATATATCCCGCTGCAGATACTTGAAGATATCTGATGTTGCCCACGCTAAGCCATATGGAAAAAGAACGTTGTAATGGAAACCGTTTTCTGAATACTCTTATTGGCTCGGTTCTCTTTAGCCAAGACGATTTAATATTCTTTCAATATGATATATCGAATAAAGAGCTCATTTATAGCACTTGAAAATCCTCGCATATAATAGCATTCATTAAAATATTTTATTGCGTTTATTTGTATTATATACAATATATCTAACAGCTGTTATTATTTCATTTATTAGATATTGCTATCATTATTTAATATTACATTTTCAACTGAATAAATTAAAAACGATTCATTAATAAATATAACGAGCAAAAACTATTGTGACATCGTCACAATGCCAGGATGCAATTTTTAATTATATTTTTAATTTATTTAATTTAAAATATATGCTCACGATCTCAAATTAGCAGTGTCTTGCTCCTGTACATCATACTTTTCCTGCTAACAATAGAGTTATGCTGGTAATTATCGAACTCCTTTCAGGGGAAAATTTTTGAATTGAAATAACGTGACTTCTGTTCTATCTCGGAAGTTTATATATAGTTAATTTGGGCCTCCTACCCCTAAACTTTCCATATCTGGTCTTGATTTTTATCTATCTAACATCGTTCTCGAGATTAAAGAATTTATAGGTCTACAACTATTTCAAATTTCAGTCCAATTAAGTTTAGATTTTAAAATTAAAAAATATTTATAAATATGTAATTAAAAAAAACAGTATTTTAAAATTTACATATTGTTAAATTAAAAATATTATCAATAATTTTATTTATAAATTATAAACATTTTTAGAAATGAATAAAAATAGAAAATCAAGTTTAAACTCGCAGATCTATTTAAATTCTTTAAATTAACACAAAGATATTTTAGAATAATTTAAAAGTCAAGAATTTGTACCGAGGTTAGAAATAACGAATGCCTTGCATATTTTAAAACCGCGGTATAAATTTTTACAGCATGTCTGCACGATAATTTATAAATCTACCAAAAGTTTTGGAAATTGAAATTAAACAAAGCTACAACAAAGCAGTTTATCGACATCAAGTGGCTAGTAAATATTAAGAATCTGGTGATTGATTTAAATATTAATGCCACGACGATATTCAATTAAGTATGCAATTAATTTAACCGTTAATCAATTTCCATAATTGTTATCACATAATTGTATAATAAATCGTTTTGTTCGTTTATAATGACATTTAAAGAACGAAATGTATAAACAAAAAAGAAACGACATGTATAAATTTTGAAATATTTTCAAAAAAAAATGATATTATTAACTCTTTTTAGTTAACATATTTATAAATTTTTAAAATAATTCGTTAATTAAAGTATAAAGAAGAATTATGAGCGGGTTATTACCATTAACAAATGAGCAATTTAGATATGTGTAATTATATTAAGATCTCTTAAATTAGTCATTAAAGAAATTATTTATATAAAACTTCCAAAAGTTTTGTAAACTAGATATTAATCTAATTTAATGAGTTTAATCTAATTTATAAAAGCTGGTAAAGTTTTACAGATTTAATGTAATCTCCTCAATTATAGCAAATAACAATTTGGTGGCTATTGATAGGCCTACCGAAATTATTTGCATAATGTAAATTATTTAATTTATAAATGTAAATTAGTTACTGGTTTATATTAATGCTACACTTCTGTTTACATGTTTATACATTATATAATGCTTAAATATGTTTACTTGCTTCCAGTTTGTTTATATAAAGTTTGTATTGTTACGAGAATATCTTATAAATAAATAAAATATTTCCTATTTACATGATACACATTAACTAAATTATATACAGTCAAATCTCTGTACTGTTGTTTAATAATACATTTTTTTTTTTTACTCGTAAAATACACAATGTTTTCCTTTTACTTCAACGATAACGCAGTAAATTAAATTTTAATTAATTTTAATGTATTACTCGTTTTTTGGAATCAAAATGTAATACTCTGTTAATACAGCATTTCTATCATCTCACGAACGTTATCTGCAGTCAGTAGGCACTATTACACACGAGGACAGTTGCCAGATTTAGCCTGCTTTTGATATTTTAGCGCCTAAATTTTTTGTTTAGCGCTTAAAATTAATTATCTTTTTTCTTTGTTTAGCTGAAACGTTAGCTTTTGAGCAAAATATTTTTTTATTACACGTAACACTAAACTTAGAAAGGAAACTAAGTTTTAATATTTTTTCTAGAGCAGTTTTAATGCTTTTTTGGCACTTTCAGTTTTTCAGGAAATTATAAATTATAGTAAACTGTACGTTGCAGTTAAAATTCGTCAGAACGCTGTTCTTAATATTCAAAAGTAATTGTAACAAAACCTCTTTTACTTTTAGAATTAGTGTAATTTGCAAAACTAAGAAAACTTTATATAATTTCTGGGGAACTTTGTTATATTAATCTTATTTAACATAATAAATTTTCTCTTAGAAAGTGCTCAAAGATGCCTTAGTGTTGCAAATTGCTTTTTGTGGCCTAATCATTTTAATAAGTATATTCTCCTTAAAAAATTATATTTTGGAAGTAGTTTAGTTTTTACTTTTTTAAATTTTGGTTTTACTTGTTCGTTTTTTCTAGGAAGATTCAGATTCTGACTGCTTTTGGATTTTGATGTTTAACATATAAGTTACTGCAGAAATAATATGCAAGAAAATCACTCAAATTTTGAACTAGAGGAGAATAATAATACTATATGTTTTTCAGTTCTCTTTTGTTTCGCTTAATATTGCTCTAGAGAGATTTGATTGTATTTAGAAATATCTACATTTACTTTTATTTAACAATAAACAAACTTATATAAACTTCCTATATATCGATGATCTTGAGGGCCCTGAATCAAATCTGAGTGAGCAACTCCAGATATGTCAGATCTCGTCCCTGACCACCAGGCCTCTAAATGAGGCCTGGTGGCAGAACTCACGATAGATATAATTAATTAAAAAGACTCACTTAGTGCCCGCGAGGAAGAGTAAAAATATATATATAGTTTATATATGTACCAATTAAACTTACCTCATTCATATTCAGCATGGTGTTAGTGTGGAAAGCTTCCTTGTCATGGAGATATCCAATCAGCCAACTTATCGTGCTCAGACTCCATCGTTAATCTATACGACACGGATAACTGATATCAATGCGAACATTTTATAATATTAATATTAAATTATGTTTTGTTTTGATGGTTATTTCCAAATAAAATAAAAATCTGTTAAACAGTCAATATTTGCCCTATCATTTCCATTGAACTCATATGTATTGGATGCCGGCCATATTACTACAATACCAGCTGCTGCTTTAAAATTCTAAATTTTGAAACTGTTCCAGCTGTTGCGAGAGAAAGTTCGATTGCCGATTATAAGTGCTATTTTTTCCCTAACTTCAAACGACAGAATAACGAGATGCCTTCTTTAATGACGTGTGAAAGAATAAATACTTATCATTACAGGTTTGAGGACTTTTCTTCTAAGAGTAACAAAACTATGCAAAACCGACTCATTAAGCTTTCCAACTATTCTAAATGAAGCTGAAATCTGTCAAAAATAGAACTAAAACAGTAGAAAAATAATAAGAAAAAAGGTCTACTTTTGATTTTACTGGAAACGAGCCCAGAAAATTCCCTAATTGAACGCCTTTCGAATAATGCAATTATATCACGACTTTTTAAAAAAATTTTACATAATTAAAATTACCATTTCATCGACGGTTTCGCTTCCTCGTTATCAGGATAATTCTTCCATTGTGATGGACTGAAAAAAAAAATTAATTATCATATTGATTAATCGAATAAAAATAAATATATATAAATAATTTAAATCTAAAAAATATTGAAGATTTTATGTTTGTATTTTCTCTTATCAGCAAGAAAACTGAATAAATTTTAAAAATAACAACTCGTATATCTGAATTTGGTGGATGTTATGTTAAGGAAAGTCAGTTGAAGTTTTTTAAATGATTCTTCAAGAAAAATCAATGAGTCGAGTGTTATTTTTAAGCTATAAAAATACAGCAACTTTTCTTTGTGTACCTGATAGAATTTTCTTTCCAGAACTTTTGAGACCAAGAAGATTAATTAAAAATAAAAGTTTATACAACTGTAAAGCTGAAGAATTTTTTAAAATAATTTTTTAAATTGGACAGTTTTTTAACAGTTTAAATTAAATTTAACGTAATATATTCATAGATCATTTTAAATCTAATTTACCGAATTTATTATTATAAAAAAACAATAATTAATTTAAATAATAAATAAAAATATACTGTAAATGCTATAAATTTTTAAGATATGTTTTAATGTAGTAACAGTAAATAATATAAATAAATACTTNCCATTGCGCATGCACAACATGGCTTTTTGTAAAGTTTTTTCGAACTTATAATATCAAACTCTTGTTTAAACATTATTCCATAAACAAATAACCATCTAGGAATGATTAAGAACCTGATGCAGAATCAGATAACCAGATGAGGTTCAAAAACTTTTTTTTTTTTTGTTATTATACTGTAATTTAATTGGTTCTGAGTGCATTATTGTCATTAATCCAGTGTGGTGAGTGGTTATTTGGTTTATATTAACTGGAAAATAAGGTGTTGGTGCTTTTAAAGTATTTAATTTAAAAAATCTTAATAATCCTTTCCTTTCTCTTACAGCTGCCTTTTTTAGCCTCAATTTGAGGGCAGATGTTAATGAACTTCTCTAAGAATAAAAAAGTGCCAAAAATTATAAAAAATAGGACTGTTTAAATTCAGTTTATATATCAATTAAAAAAATCTATAAATTTATAATATTTAGGAATAAATTTAATAAATTTATACTTTTGTAGTAGATTCATACATTGGCATTCATAAATGGACAAACAAGACATTTGCCCATTGGGATTGATAAAAAATTCCACAATTTATAATTCTAAAAGTGATTGAGATATGTATTCTTACATCCTTAGCCAAGGGATGCTTTGATGCAATACTGTGTTTTATAATCTACTTATGAAAAAAATCCAAAAAAATTAAATAATTAAATAAAAATTTATTGATGTAATTGTTTGTCTCCAAGCTTTGCCCTCTCCCTTGGAAAATTTTCTGCTGTTGCCCATTAGATTATACAGAAATGTATTTAAGTAGTAAAACAATTTTTAATATTATAACAGTTTATTATTGAATAATATATTTCTTTCAGTTAATCCAAGGAAAATTGGCTGACATGTACACAACTCTGAATGCTTGTCGAGCTTACTTGTATAATGTTGCAAGAGCAGTAGATAAAGGTCATGTCAGTTCCAAGGTAAATGTTTTCTTGTAAAAATTTGAATATAACATACATAAATTAAACAATTACAGTGAGAATATATTTTTTGTAAATTAATTTTAATATGTTTAATATGAAATTTCCAATAAAGAAGGTTACAGATTTAACTGAAGTTTCTTTCAGTAAATTTCTGCTTAGTATATCTGAATATATATTAATTTTAAAAGATATAACCAAAAATTACTTAAAAATAAAAATAACTGGAAATTATTATGCAAATTAAGAATTACTAGAATATTTTAAATTTGCAATATGAAAATAGGTAGATGCAGTAGAATGTAATATACAGTTGAATCCACTTAAGCGAATACTCTCAGAATCACTGCTTTATGCCTCCTCATCCAAAGTAACAAGATTACCCAGAGGATTGTTAATGGTCATCAATGTGCAGCGACAATTTTCAAAAAGGATCAGATGTGAGAAAACCTATTTTTCATACATTATAACAATTATTTAAACACTGGGAAGAAAATTCATTTCATCTCACATTATTGACACATTAATTTTACTTTCCCAGCTCTTTTTTTGACTGATTATTTTTACTTTCCCAGCATTTTTTTGACTGATTGTCATACTTTCCCTGCTATATATAGCAGAGGGAAAGTATGACAATCAGTCAAAAAAAGGCCCCACACAGATTTTTACATTTTTTGGATTGAGAGGACTCTTGAAATGTCAAGAAATGCAAAATATTTGGAGATTTTTTTCTATGTATGGATGTTAGTGTATGTATGGGGCATGAGTTTGTTCACCCCTTTTGAAGCTTAATAACTCATGTGTCTTTTGTTGAAAATTTCTGAAATTTTGCATGGAGGTTTATATATAAGGGAGATTGATGCTATTAAATTTTGATGGTTAAAGGTCAATTGGGTGGGGAGATAAAGGGGGTAGTGTCATATCTTGAGTAGATAAGACTTAATGACAATTTTATTCATTATTAGAATTCCAATTTTTTTTTTTATAAAATCCATTTCTACTTTCAAAATTAAACTTTTTGCCATTAAAAAATATAATAATAAAAAATATAAAACAGTTTTAAATAAAATAGAATACAACATGGAAATTATTGATTGTCTTCACTCTGATGTGACGATTCACCTAGATCAGCTGCATCATTCAGATTCAAACTGTGCTATGTTTCACTGTAAGGGACCCACTTCTTGTAAAGAGTCAGTCTTCTTTCATATTGAATTCAAAGCTTTTTAATCACATATAAGTAGATTCACACTTTAGACGAAAACTTTTAAGTGTTTTATGATAATAGAAATACAAAAATTACTAATGTGATATTCTTTTCAATAAACACAAAAAACAAAATCTCTTATTACAGAATCACATGAATGCTCACAAAACACAACAGTATGCTAGGAACACATGTATGCAAGCTAGGCCTGTCAATCGAATTAACTAAAAGGAGTCCTGAGGGGTGTTCAGGTTGGTTCATGGAAGAGTTGAATTCATCATAAAGGAGGGGAGGACAGATTGGAAAAATATACATTTTTCAAGTGAAAGGTTTCAAACACAAATGCATTAAATATAATATTTAGACAGTATTTGAAGAAATTTAGAGGACTAACCTAAGAGGACTAAATTTAGAGGACTAACCAAGAATGGACTAACTAGTCCATTCTTGGCACACCATTATTAATGGTATTCAATTCTTTCCATTTTTTCTTATTTTAGGAGTCCTATGTAACTTATATCACATTTGGAAACATTAAAATTTATTATCACATAATTTTCTTCTTACTTACATCATATTTGTTTCCATTCTTATTTCATCAGTTTTATTGTTCTATCAAATAATCAGTAAATACAGTTACATTAATTTTACTTCTTGAAATACAGTAAGAGGTCTAACTGAAAATATGTGAAGATCATTGCTCCAAATTTTTGAATGCTCTCTTAAAGAATATACAGAGTAAAAACAAATAATTACAGTACCACTAAATAAGGTCATGTAAACTCTGAAATCTGGTTGCTAATTGCTTCTTGCTTTGTATCCATGAAATGAGGACATATATGTGCTGTTTGTTAAAATATATTTTATGATACCTTTTTTAATATGTTAATGCTTCCCATGTGTGCTCAATAAAATCTGTTCATTATGATTCTGTAATAAATCTTTTAATTATCTGTTTATTAGAAAATAGATCAATGGAAGGTTTCACAAAATTTCAAGGAAATGTAGAGTCCTGTTGCCATGTGTCTACATACTATAAGATTAAAGATAGATCCTTATCTTTCTTAGAATACAGATTTGTTATACACACTGCTGCTCTGAAAATGCTGCCAACATAATGTTCTTTTAAATGGACTGCTCTACTATCTGGTACTTTGTTAACAGCAATCCTACTAATGCAAAGTAAAAAATTGGGAAATATATATATTGTCTCAAAGATTAAGCCATGCATATCTAAGTATATATTGAAATAAGGTGAAATTTATATACAGTTATATGTTCAATATTTATTTTTTAAATTTTCAATTACTGTATTTATAATTTTTATTGAAAAATATAAATTACACAAATTTTTAATAAACGATTTACTGTAAAATATAGTTCTGTATAATAATATCGTAACTGATAATCTGTTTTTATATTGACATTATTTGTTTTAAATGTCATTGTTAAAGAAACAATAATGTTAAATGGGCTTTCGTGGTATCGATGTTTACGTAAACGTCAATTAACACGATATAACCACGAATAAAATTCAGTATTGTAAAACTAAGCTTATTTTATATCAAAAACACTTGCTGATGAAAGAATAGAGGATAGAGATTCCATAGCGTGTATTATCTGTTTAGTAAAGCCCAGAATTTTTAGTACTCAATTATATCGCGCTTTTTTTTGTCTCCCGACAAGTGCGATATAACGAGGGACTACTGTATTAGTAACACAAGACTAATTACAGTCAGTTTAATATTTAGTTGGCTATTCGTTTCATTATGCTAATTGTGACATAAAATCATCTGGGCTTAGAAGCAACTAGTTTTTTTCACAGTCCGACAACGTTGTCCAATGACATGAAATTTTTTAGAGTCAAGTGTCTTTCCATTTTACACCAGACGTTTGATGTTTAAACATTATTTGATCTACTTGTATGGCTGTGTGTAATAAAGCATTTCTTGCTAAAATGTGAACTAAATTATATGGACTCGTATTCAAATTCATAAACATGCATTCATATGAACTTTTAGCAAACACAGTTCTAAGCCAGTAGCCGATATATATCCCTACAAACTAACTGCTTTTTTGGAAATTTCACATTGGATTTGCAGCATTGGGGATTGAAATCGTCTTTTGGTTGATTGTATACAGCTTTCTCTGATGGCCAAAATTGTCATAGAAAGTAACTTTGTCGCTCCATACTATTTTTGTTAGTCTTACATTATCAATGTAGATGCTATCTTTCCCCCACAGAACCCGCCTTCTACGTG